CAAGATCCAGCTACATTATACCAAGGGTCATATTTCTCATATTGATAATGTGTGGAGAGATACCTGGTCTGAATATGATTTACTATATTTTCTCACCAGAAATAACTAGTTCAAGTACTAAATTTTCTGTTTAGGTCCAACCTCTTAGCCTACAACCACCTTTACTAAGTTGTACTTCTGTGGTTACTGAGAAGCTATTACTTAGTATTAGCAATATATCAGAGGAGGAGGTAAATCACTGGGCTTTAAAATCTTGGGATAATAAGATTTCACTGCAGTGGAATCTCTTAAAAGATTTAATATCTCTACAGAGTCTGGCAACTTCAGATACTATTGTGGATGCTTGGTTTTCTATTATATTTTCTTCCTCCCATCCTCTCACTTCTGATTGTTTAACTTCTACATTTTTATCAACTCTTTGTTCAGGTTTCCTAGATTGGCATAGTGAATCATATATGAAGGAAATGATAACTACTATTTCTAAAGAACTAACAACAGTTACTAATTGGCAGTATCTTGAGTACTTATATCTCCCAGTTCTGGTTCCAATGGATCCTATAGATCATTGGATTCTGCTAAGAGTTAGAGTTGGATCTTTGGAATCTGTTATTGAGGGGTATGATTCTTTGGGAAATACATTATCAGCTGATCAGATGCAGGTATGTTTTATTCTTCAAATCAACCACTCTTATGCTAACAATATTCAGAGAACACAGAGGTTTTGGCAGTCACTGCAGAACTGTTCTATCCAAGAGTCTCTACAGCAAGACTCTGATAAACCACCTATTTCTTCTACATATCCTAAGTTGAAATGGAAATGGCAAAAGTCTCAGGTATATGCATCTTATTGTTAATCAGATACCAGATACTAAATATAATAGAATACATATCCTAAGCAGAAAAAGACATATGACTGTGCTATATTTGTCATGCATTCTGCAGCACTTTTGTTGAAGGGAGATCCTTTAAAATTTTCTCAAGATGATATTCCACATATCAGAAAATCTGTCTTGTCTATATTGTATGCAAATATGCAAGCTTCTCATAATTGGACCATGTAATAGAAGTTGGAAACTTTATTCACTTTTTTTCTTTGAATTTTTCTTTGAATTTTGTTTTTTATTTCAATTATATTTTTCTCTCAAAGTTACTTCTAGTATATGGAACTTGATGAAAACTATACTAAAAGTTTAAAGCATATATTAAATAAGACTATAATATTGCCCTACTTTACTATTAATAGTAGTGACTAGTAAAGTTTTCTTTTTCTAATCATATATGATTAATCATATTTCATTTAGTATGTGACCAACTTTGAATCTTGGCAAATTTATAGGGTCAAATCCATTCCCACCTCTGAATGCTTCTTTTTTCTCTCTTACAAATTATAGTCCTAATAGTATATCTTACTTTAGTCTTCTCTCTTTGTTTCTTGTTCTTACAAAATACTCCTTCTATCCTTATTGCAACAAACTTCTACCTCCTCCTCTCTTATTCTATATCTCCCATTATGTCTAGAACATCCTTTGAAAAATCTATCATTTGCACCGAGGAAGCTGCTCTGGAGTGGAGACTATCAGAAAATGAGTGGATAAATGATTGGGTTAGAGTAAGATCTGTGGAAACTAAGAACCTGTTTATTGGTTTTGTTTGTTAGTTTTCCCTACTAAGGGTAACCTCATAGATTTAACTAACATTAAATAGTTCAGCAAACAGGAATATTACTTCCTTCTAGTATCAACTTTATAGAGCAAGAACCAGTGACCTTTCAATGGATCATATCTTCTGAGACAGAGAATTGGTTTTGGGATTACTGGAACAAGCTGGCCAGAAAACCTGGTGAAAAGGTGAAATATACCAAAAAACTGCCTAACTATAGTTTAGATGACTATAGAGCTTTGCATAGAGCCATAACTAGAGGATGGTTGAAGCCAGGCAGAAATCAAACAAACTCAGCATGCATAGAGGTGAGAAAGAATATATTTTCTTATTTTGCCCAACTTGAAATTGATTTGGGTATGCTAATAATATCATTAGAGAAAAAGCCACAAGAAAAGTATTCAACATGAAGATAGTCTTCAGGTTGAACTACAAAGCAAAGAGGAGAAGGACAGTAGTGCTGTCGGGAGTCAATCTGGCCTAGATGAAGTAGATTGTCAGCTGGATTCAGAAAAAGAGTTGGAAAATCATGACAATACCAGTCAATTGAATGATAATCTCGTAACAGACAATGAGTTATCCCATAAGCAGTACTCAGGTAAGTCACATTTTCAAGAATTATTTATAAAAATCTACTAATTATAAATAAGACTCAGATAGTGAAATGAGGGACTGTGAGGATATTTCAATACAAGGTCTTAAATCTTCTAATAAGGAACCTGAAAGGTCTTTTCTATTCCAGGTAATGCTTTATTTAAGTAAAAATCCCTTTATAAGAATTGAAAACTAATATTAAAGATAGTTGAGGGAAGGAACCTTAGACCAACCCTTTAAAGCAGACAAAAAATGCACTCCTGCAGAATTTTTGTCAGAAGATGTCACTATAGCATCTGATATTGAATCCGAAGTGAAAATGCTAAAGGAACTTGAAGGCACTGAAAGTAGGTACAAGAAATTGATATTACTCTTAAATCAGAAACTAATTGACAATTAGGAGTACTAGAATCCTATAAGTTTGATTTGGAATTGCAGATTTTTCTTAAAACCTCTAATCAAATCTTGATGGGAAAGACTGAGTTTGAGAAATCAATACTGGAAAAAAATCAGGCAATTGAAGACAGGAAAATACTAGCAAATCAGGTTCTACTAGTAGAAGAGCAAAACTTGAAAACGGAGAAAACAATGTTTCCGTTGGAAGAAAAGTTACAAGACTTGAAGATGCAAGTGGAGGAACAGGAAGAAGAAGGTAGAAGACTAGAGCAAGAGGGGAAAAGGAAAAGAGAGGTAGCAGTTAAGTTGGAACAATTAATAGAAAGGACAAATGTATTAGTACAAAAAATGTAAGAAAGTAGGATTTAGAAGGAATCAATATACAGGACATATATCTATGAATCCCTAAACTTTTCTTCATTCCTTGTTTTTCTCCTTCTCTTTCTACTTCAATTGTCCTTTAGCTAGCATATTAGCTTTCTCAATCAAGTTTGCTAACTTAGTACTTGCTTTTCTTGCTCCCTCTTCCCTTAATTCCAACTCCTTTCTAGTTCTTTTTTCTTCTCCTAACATTTCCTCTAATTGAGCTATTTTTTCCTTCATTTCTGCAGTCCTTTGATCCATATGTTCCTGCTCTTTCTGTAACTCAATCAACTGTGTACCTAAAATACTCCTATCTGCTATTGCCTCCTCCATAACAGCTATTTGGTGCTGATAATAATCTCTATCAACCAGAATTTGATGTGACTGTTCTAGCTTTCTTTTTAGAAAAAGATCAAACTTATAAGATTGTAGTAATCCTAGGTTCTAGTTAGTTCTCTTCAGATGATTTTAGAATATTTTAGATCTTACTCTCAGTTTTCTCTATCTCTTCCAGGTTCCCAATTTCTGTCTTTCCTTGACCTTCCTGATTTACTTCCTCTCCTTGAATTGTAGGAATTGTCCAATCCTCCTCTGGTTTT